TTGTCAGACGCCACGGGATCTTTAACTTCCACCTGAACAGGTACATTGGCGATCAGGCCTTCAGCCTCTCTGCCCCCACCCTCTGGAACTCCATCCCCAGAGCCCCGCTGCCTCACCCCCAACCCCCACCTCCTTTAAGGCCGGTCTCAAGACCTTCCTCTTCGATCATGCTTTCGGCCACCCTCCCACCCACCTTGCCCTCCACCCCGTCTTGATTCTAAACCCCAGCTCGGGTGTAAACCCTTAACCAACGCCTTCGGACATCCTTTCCGACGTGAAAGGTGCTATATAAGTGTCATTTTCTGTTGTTCCCATTCTGTACAGTGATTGTAAATCTTTGTAAATTAGCCTTGAAGCGCTTTGGGACGTTTCAACATTAAACGCAAGAGGGCAGAGAGGAACTATCAAGTGAACTCAGGGACAGGTTAAACACATCTCTGGCATAGTTTTCCCTGCGTGCAGTTGAATCCATGGCTCTGTTAAGAAAGAAACCGAGACCTTGCACCTTGCTGCGTCAAGTGCATATGGAAAAAGATGGACTGACTCATTTATCCGTTGATGATCCATAGGCAATCACCAGAACAATTGTAATGCACCATCCCATTATTTTAATGACATCTATAATGGAACCAGTGGAATAATTCCCTTTGTTATCCCCGAGATACCTATTATGCACAGGAAGAACCCAGCCGAGTGTGTCTCTCTGACGATCCATAGCACAAGAGATCTCAGACCAAATTACTTTTAATAGCGACGCCATCGCTGTTATTGTTTTTTTAATATAGAAAGCAAAATATTGGAAACGACACTGTCTCGTTATTCGCGCCCAGAAACAGGCAATCACCCCCTGGTTAGAAGGTCGCGGGTTCAAGCCCCCACATGGGGACTTGAACTCACATAGTCTAAGCTGATGCTCCAATGCAATGCTGGGGGGGGGCGGGGTTGCATTGTCGGAGGTGCCATCCTTCGGATGTGACGTTAAAGCGCCTGTACCTGTACAGGTGGATGTTAAAGATCCCGTGACACTGTTTGAAAAGAGAAGGGGGTTTCTCCGACAATCCCCCGGAATTGGGCCACCCCATTTGCTCCCAAAGTCTCAAATCACTCCACAGTAAATTATTTTCCTGATGTGAAAGGTGTGACACGCCCTGGCCAACAATCCCACAAACGAATTAGAGATGACGGGTTAAGGCACTGTATCAAATGCAAGGATTATTATTATTATTATTATTATTATTATAATCATTATACAACTGGTCACTCACTTCATGGCCGTTCACAGGACTTTGCTATGCGCAACTTGCCAGCTTCGCTCACCCACAAAATAACACAGTCACATCACTTTACAGTAGATCCTGTGAAGCACTTTGAGACATCTTTATGATGTGATAAGGCGCTATACCAATTCAAGGGTTATTATTATTGTTGTTGTTAAGTCTTAGTTATTGGCTCTATGCCGTAAGAGTGAACCTGCTGTCATCTAAGAGAGAGAGCAGCTCACACAGTGTGGGAAATGCAGCCAATCCCAGATGAGACATGTGTCACACATCGGTGGGTGACAACACTGTCAAAATAATAACTTGAAAGAAACTCCAAGTGATTGGAGAGAGTGAGAAATAAAGAGCTCGTGAGAGAAAGAGTGAGATAGAAAGTATTACCCACCAACGCCCAGGGAATAAGATGCTTAAACTGCAATAGACAGCAGGTGTCAAGGTGCAAAGTGTTCTCTTAGATGCATCCTGGCAGTAGAGGATTGATACAGTCCCAATCTTCCTCTGATCCAGTCTCTCCCCAATACTGTCTGACACAATCACTGTACTGATAACACCGTACTGTTCACTCCACAATGCCTTCTTTAAGCCGGGGTAAGGCGAGGGGATGTGGGGGTGGGTGGGTTGGGGGGAGCGGAGGCTTGTATGGAGTGTAAACACTGGCACAGACTAGGAATAATAATAATCATTGCATCTGATGTAGTGCCTTTCGTGTCGGGAAGACATCTCAAAGTGCTTCACAGCACAGGATATTAGTGTAGAGATCAGTGGCTGTGTATTTTGTAAGTGAATGCGGCAGCCAATTTGCTCACAGTAAAATCCCACAACCAAGCATGAAGTGAGCAATTAATTCTATCGGGGGGATTGTTGGCCAGGACACCGGGAGAGAGAGAAACTCCCTTCTCTTTTCGAATAGCGAAGCGGGATCCTTTAAGATCCGACTGAGCAGACGGACAGGACCTCGGTGTAATGTCTTATCAGAAGGTCGATTCTTTGGACAATTCAGTGTTCCCCCATTCCGCCCACTCCCCCCACCCCCAGCGCTGCACTGGAATCTCAGCCTGGTCTGTGTGAGTTCAAAGTCCCACTGAATGGCCTGTTTGCGTGCTGCAACTTAAGCGCTCCGAGATGCCGTCTGGGGTGAAGGGCGCTATATCGCCCTCCATCCTGAACGGAGGGGAATTTACTGCTGGACAGAAAAGGAAGAGAGATGTCCAGGCACTTGCATGTGAGACACACGTGGACGCAGTGTAATTGAGATGTTCTGAGTCCGTGTTTGGCTCAGTCACAGATCAGCCAGTGGGAGATGTTTATTCTCCACTGGTGAGGTGGGAACGTGGGAGATATTTCTGTCTGACAGATTAACAAAACGCTCCAGGCACATGTACCTCTGGAACTGAGTCCCAATTAGTGGAGTTTATCTCTCTGGGGAGGGGGCGAGGGGTTCCACACATTTTGCCCACAAAATACATAGTCAATTCACTTTACAGTATATTCTGTGAAGCGCTTTGAGACGTCAAGGCTATATCAAATGCAAGGATTATTATTATTATCTGATCTCACCCCCCCACCCACCCCCACCCCACAACCCTGCTTCAGACCTCCCACCTTCCCATTACTGTATCGAGCTGCTTTTTAAATGAGTCTAGTGCCCTGGCCTCTACCAATCTTCTTGGCAATCCTGTTCCAAATCGTTAATTCTCCCCCGAGTAAAGAAAAATTTCCTGGTGTCTGTCCTGAAATTGCTCTTTTGCAACTCTAAACCCTTACCCTTTTATTCCTCCTTGTTGGGGGGGTGCGTGGGGTGTAAGCGGGGTCTTCTTGGAGCTAAACTTGCTCTGGGATTTCTACATGTAGATGGGATATGTGGAATTCTCAGTTTGATTTGGATACTTTTAAGCATGGTAGTGGGTTTCCGCACGTGTCAGACACCCGGCTGATCACAGTGCTGGGTTTGTTTCTCTCTGTGTCAGACACCCGGCTGATCACAGTGATGGGTTTGTTTCTCTCTGTGTCAGACACCCGGCTGATCACAGTGATGGGATTCTGTGTGTGTCAGACACCCGGCTGATCACAGTGATGGGATTCTCTGTGTGTCAGATGCCCGGCTGATCACAGTGATGGGATTCTGTGTGTGTTAGACACCCGGCTGATCACAGTGATGGATTTCTCTGTGTGTCAGATACCCGGCTGATCACAGTGATGGGATTCTGTGTGTGTCAGACACCCGGCTGATCACATCGATGGATTTCTCTGTGTGTCAGATACCCGGCTGATCACAGTGATGGGATTCTGTGTGTGTCAGACACCCGGCTGATCACAGTGATGGGTTTCTCTGTGTGTCAGACACCCGGCTGATCACAGTGATGGGTTTCTGTGTGTATCAGTCATCCAGCTGATCACAGTGATGGGTTTCTGTGTGTATCAGTCATCCAGCTGATCACAGTGATGGGTTTCTGTGTGTGTCAGACTTCCACCTGAGCCTCCCAAAATTCTGCTGTTTGGTGTATTACAAAGTATTGTGAAATTATTCCTTTTACTAAAAAAGTCTGTTCGCTTTATTGTCCAAGTTATCTTGAGGCTAAAAGCATGATTGAGTAGATTGTTTCATCATTAATTACATTAAATGACAAAACCCATTATTTAGCACACACAGACACTAGAAAAAACCCACACAACGCTTAAGAAACATGTGTTAACCTAACATGATTTACATCGAAAGTTGATTGAGTGCAAATCTCTCACAGGGCCCTTTTCATTCTATATTGGTTTGAAATATGGTTCGGAACAAATGACAGCTTACAAATGTTTCTGTACCTGGTCTGTTATTAATAACAGGAATCACCAGTTAAACGCATCAGGGTGAATTATTAGGCAAGGCAAATGTGTTTCGCATTACAACTATTAGTAAATCACTCGGGTTTGGGGGTCGCTATCAAGGCCTTGTGAGCTGTTTTTTCTATGCTTGCGCGTCAGCCTGCCTCAATCGGTAGTGTTCTCTCGCCTCCGAGTCCGAAGGTTGTGGGTTCTGGATGACTGACACATACAGAAACCCATCACTGTGATCAGTTGGATGACTGATACACACAGAAACCCATCACTGTGATCAGCCGGGTGTCTGACACACACAGGGTCTGGACAGTCCAAAACGGATTGACGAGGCAAGGCTCTAAGAATAAGAATGAGATTAATAGTAGTCCTTGCATTTGATATAGCGCTTTATCGCGTCTTTGTGAAGCCTCAAAGCCCTTCACAGAATATGCTGTAAAGTGTAGTGACTGCGTATTTTGTGAGCGAAACTGGCAGGGCTGCTTTCAGCTCCTAAATGTTCTCCGGGAAACGAAACAAACCAGTTCATTCCAAATTCTGTCCTGTTTTCTCGTCACGCCCTGATCTTTGGCCCACAGCGCCTCCGTGTAAATTAAAATGCACCGTTGCCTTCAAAATAATAAAAAAAAATCCAGCTCTCGTTCACAAGCTCGCTCGATAAAGAGTCAGCGCTAAGAATGTATATTTGATGCTGCGGCAAATGCTCCAGAGACCCGGAACAGTATTGTGAATGTAAATTGCCATTGTGTTACAGCGCAGTGTGGTCGGAATGACATTCTGGTAAGTAAGCCTGGCACAAGTCAAAGTCAGAGACTCAGTTAAGATTAAACATTACAATGAGCTGAAATGGTTTGATTTCTCTCTCTTTCTCTCTCTCTTTTTTTTTAAAAAAAACTTCAGGTCAACTGACTATGGAACGACTTACGAGAAGCTCAATGACAAAGTGGGTCTGAAAACCGTGCTGAGTTACCTTTACGTCTGCCCCACCAACAAGAGGAAGGTAACAGATAGCGGCTGTCATGCAGCAGCTTTGGTTGGGACTGGGATAAGCTGTGCTGGGAGCTGAGCTGGACTGAGCTGTGTGGGGCTGTGGCGGGGCTGGGGCTGGCCTGGACCTGAGGCTGGGCTGGGGTCTGGGCTGTGTGGGGCTGGAGGCTGTGCTGGGCTGGGGGCTAGGCTGTGTGAGGCTGGGCTGGGGGCTGGGCTGGGCTGGGTAGGGAGAACACATAAACTCCAGAAATGAGTCTTACTTACACATCGTTATAAACGGCGGATGCCCTTGACACACTGTGGAGTGAAGTTGCTGTCATTAATTTGTAGGACTTGTCTCTGAGCAAACAAGTGACTACAGAATTTATCTCTCTCTGTGTCTCCCTAATGCCCATCTCATTACTGCTGATTGTCCCAGGAAAAAAAAGGCTTTCAACTCATCTCCTTCCTCTCTGTGTCACTGTTTCTAATAGGGTGTGTATATAATACACAGTATTAAATTATATATAGGACAGTGATACCTCTGGAGAATAATAATCATAAGAACATCTTTCATTCATGTAACACTTCTCCTGTAAAACGAAAAAAAACTCCCAGGCAATTCACCGAATATAATTGACTGGAAATTAAGTGATTGCTGGGTGTCAGCCTGGCTCGGTTGGTGGCGCTCTCACCTCTGATTCAGAAGGTTGTGGGTTCAAGCCCCACGTCGGAATTTTGAACTCACATTGTCTAAGCCGGGGTGGGTGGGGGGGGGGTTGGAGGTGGTCCAACCTTTTAACAAAAGGCAAAACACTGCAGATACTGGAAATCTGAAATAAAAACAGAAGTCGTTGGAAAACCCTCAGCAGGTCAGGCAGCATCTGTGGAGAGAAGAAAGTTAGTTACCGTTTCAGGTTGATGAACGGTCTGACGAAAGCTCATCGACCTGAAATGTTAACTCGCTTTCCTCTGATCTGCTGAGTGTTCCCAGCGACTTCTGTTTTTACAGTGCAACCTTTTGGCTGCTGAGGGCCAGATGCCTTATTTGAGAAATGTCCGTGGGCCGCAGAAGCAATATTGTGGTGTTTCCCTTCTAGAAACATAACATAGCATCTACAGGTTACGGAGAGCGCGGATGGAGCGGCGAGGGAATGAAATGTATATGTGTGCTTGTGTGCTTGTGCTTGTGTATGTGTATGCTTGTGAATGCATGTGTGTGAGCGTGTGTGTGTACATCCGTGCTTGTGATTGCGTGCTTGTGTGCAGGTGTGTGCATGTGAGGTGCCTGTTCATACAGGCAAAACAGCATTGCTTCCCGGTCAAAGTGTGAAATCTGCAGAAATAGATACCTAAAGGCAGAGATTGGAAAGAGGTAAATAATAAAGATGTATCTTCGTGAGTTGCGGAAATAGGTATTAAATTATTGTGGCTGTTACTCTTCACCTACGGTTGGTGACATTGAATGCGCTGCCTTCATAACGTTTTAAATATGTGCATAAATCACAGCCAACGTTCCCTAAATAGCTTCCGCGCCCCCAACCCCCCCCCCCCCACCTCCCCAGCTCCGGCCCCCACCTCTCCGAATCTTACCACGACTGAGCTGCATAATGGAGAAGAATTATAATTGTGAAACTTCTCCTGTCAGAGCAAACTACACATAAATAGTGAAATTGACTGAAACATCCCAATGAATGAACCTTCATCGTATAATCTGATGAGGGTTAGTCTTTTCATTTTAATCTTATTCCAAGAAAAAAAAATCGGAAATCCATTGTTTTTTCCCTCCAGTTTCTAACCTCGTTCACTTGAAAGGAATAGACGGGTTTTATACCAAGAGCTGACTGAAGACTGTGAAATTCTTAGCCCTAAAGATAGCTTAAAAGCAATAATAATAAAAATAATAGTTATCCGTGCATTTGATACAGGGCCTTACCTGTTCATCAAGATGGTGCAAATAATAATAATAATAAGCCTCGCATTTGATACGGCACCTTATCATGACATTGAAACATCTCAAAGTGCTTCCCGGAATATATCGTAATGTGGATCGACTGTGTATTTTCTGAGAGAAAATGCAGCAGCCAATTCCACACAGCAGTGTCCCAGGTTTTACTGTGAAGCTGAGTGGCCATGAATTTGTAGGTTCATTTGTAGGTGAACACAGCAGCCAATTTGTGCGCAGCAATGTCCCACAAATGGCCGTGAAATGAACGCCTGATTTTATTTGGGTGGGGGGGGCGCGGGGGTGTGTGTGTGTGACAAACATAAGAATAAAGGATTATTAATATGATCACGAGGCAGATTCTCAGGCTCATACATCGCTCCGTATCTGAGCCAACCTGATTATCCTTGGCCATTGTATTCTCTGCCGATGAGAAATATCACTTATTAAGTATAATTTGTGAGTTATTCATTAAAAACAAAGCCAATAGGGTAGCTTGCATGCATATGTTTCAGCCTCCGCGTGATTAATGGTTTAAACGCCAACGTTTATTATCATATAAACTGCAGTGGCTTTTGGGGAAATGGAGAAAAATTTGCATTTGTAAAGCTTGTGATGTGTGATACCACGAACCAACTGAACTTGCATTTAGTAAGAGACTCTGCAGTGCTGTTTCAGTCCCTTAAGATTTCTCCCACTGTCTCTCCCTTTCTCCCTCTCTTAATCACTGCCTCAATCCCTCTTTCTTCTCTCTCTCCCGCTTGATCTCCCTCTCTCCCCCCTCTCAATCATTCCTAACACTCCCCCTCTCTTTCTCTCTATCACTCTCTCCCTCCCTGTCTCCGTCCCTCCCTCTATTCCTTCCTTCCTCATGTACCTATACTAATAATAATCCTTGCATTTGATATAGCGCTTTTCACTTCTTCTAGACGTCTCAAAGCGCTTCACAGAATATCCTGTAAAGTGAATACGACTGTATATTTGTGGGCGAAACGCGACAACCAATTGCGCACAGCAGCGTCCCACAAACAGTCTTGCCCAAGGTTTCGCCCTGCCGGGAATCAAACCCAGGTCTCTCGCTTGAGAGGCAAGTGCTCTAACCACTGAGCTTCAGGACTCCACATCTAGCTTCCCCTTAAATGCATCTATGATATTCGCCAATTTCTGATTTAGAAAAAAAGATTTGCCCACCTCAGAATAAAAACTAAAGCAATCACACTGAGAGAGAAAGAGACAGAGAGAGTATCACGACTCCATTCTCTGTTACTTGTCTTGGAATGAATGGCACTTTGAGTTATAATGTGAAATAAGGCTATTCTATCTGCCCTGCCCTATATCAGGAGAGCTGAATAACCTATTTGACCAGCTTAATTATCCTAAGTGAATTTAAGTAGGCTGTGAGGGTGAAATAACGCCTCATACAAATTCATGGCTTGCACACGCCTCCCATTTTAAGCAGTTCCACTGCCTGTATCATTTTGCCATTTGCAGATCCTTTTGTTGTTGCAGCTTAGATCTCAAATAGTCCCTTAGAGTCTGTGCGTAAACAAGTGAACAATCCCTCGAACTCCCCACTCTCCTTCCCGTGGCTCAGTTCATATAATTGCAACTCAGTATTAGAAGAGAACAGAGGGCAACGGAAGAGGGGTTGAGGAGCACCAACACTGGCAACGACTGGTTGGGCCGAATGGCCTCCTTCGATCTGTAAAGTTCGATAGAATTAGCCGTTAGCCTGGCTCAGTCAGCAGTGCTCTCGACTCTGGGGGTCACAGAGTTGTGGGTTCAAGCCCCCCTCGCTCTGAGCTCACATGGTCTAGGATGACTCTCCAATGTAGCGCTCCCCCATTCACCCCACCTTCCCCCACTCAGCCCCTTCTCCGCTCACTCCTCCCTTCATACACATCTCTCCCCCACACAAACCCCTCCCCTCCTCCATACGCTTCCCTCACTCACCCCTCTTCCCTCTCCGGCCCCCAGGTAGTCCAGATTTCAGCTATGTGGAGTACCGTAGCGTAATGGTTAGCGTTCTCGACTCGCAAGTGAGAGGACCCAGGTTCAATTCCCAGGCAGGGTGAAACCTTAGGCAAGTTTCCTCACTCCGCACACCTCTGTTTACCTAGTAGTAAATGGAAACCCGGGTTTTAGTCGATTGGCGGATTGCTTTCTGGGGGTAATAATCCCTACCCCCCCTCAAAAAAAATGCGGCCACTCAATCGGCGACTGTCTGTGCGCAATTGTCTGCCGTGTTTCTCCCACAACATACACAGTCAATCCAATTTACAATATATTCTAAGTGAAGCACTCTGAGCCATTTCAATGACCTAATAAGGTGCTATATCAAAAGCAAGGATTATTGTCCCCATAGGCAGATTGATTACTGCACGGCTTGTTATAAATCAGGGTAAAGACAGCTGAGAGCTTCACTGCCCACACTTTGACTCTAAATCCTAGCACTAATCCCTACTATATTGGACACGGAAGTCTTTCCCTGGTGTGAGCGCAGCCACATTGGTTTATGACGCTAACATCCCATCACTGGAATCCCTCTCCTGAGTGGCGGCTGACACTAATAAATGAGGGACTGTCAGTTATCATGGTGTCTTTTGACATTCAAATCCACTCCTAATGAAACCTTGTCAATCCTGTGACAGGCTGTCTGGGGGACCACAGCATTGGACACTGGAGAGAAATTGATGTTTTATTCAATTACATCCTCGCCCGCTGATAATCTGCAACCCCTCCCCCACCTCACTCATAACACACACTTACACACACACACCCTCCCCCACCTTACATACACACACATACCTTCCCCCACCTCACACACACCCACACTCACCCACCTCACACTCTCACCCACCTCACACACACACATACACATCCTCCCCCACCTCACACACAAACACACACGCTCATACCCTCAGTCTCTTCTCTTTTCTCTCTCTCTCACACACACTGAGGATAGAGCCCTGAGGAATGCCATGTGTGACCGTGTTGGGGCAGGAGAAACAAAGAAATCTACAGCGCAGAAGGAGACCATTCGGCTCATCTGGCTCCCCCCCACCCCATCTTATCCCCATTCCCCT